TAATATAAAATATATAAAAACGTATATAAAGTAATACAGACAAAACGATAAGAGACTTAGAAATAATCATTGAAAAAACATTTCTTTAAAGACATTCTGAAACAATATAGCGACATTGATTTTAACTCAGGACTTAACTTGTATAATTTTACAATGTTAAAAGAAAAAGATTGTTCAAAGAATTCAGACCTGTGTCTAGGCATGGTTCATAAACTTTTGCTACGAATGTTGATGTTTGTAAGTCAGTTCTAAATGTTAGTTTATTCTAAAGATAGGGGGGGTGTCTTAGTAATAATTAATTATGATAGAAGCAAAGAGCATGATAATTTCTTACTTTCATCGACAACCATTTTCATTTTTTAAATTAGATATGTGGCTAAACTTCCTTATACCACATATAAACCGAACACAGGCATTTTGCACTTTTTGTATTTTGTTACAATCGGAACTATCTATACACTGATTATATAAGATATCACAATAATTAAATTGAGATAGTACCAATGTTTCACATAGCATTATCTTGGTATCTTTATTTAATGTATGTCTCTTACTATATATCAATTTTAAATTATACAATAGGACTTTTTCAACATATGATTTACATATAGCCTATATCTTACAATTAGATTAGAAATCCAGGATTAAACCTAAATTCGTTGCCTCTCTCGTAACTTTAAGTTGATCATGACTGATATGTATGTTTATTAAATTTGCAACTTCATTAAGCTTAATATGTTGACCTATTAATAAAACTGACAATTTCAACTATTAAGTTTTAAACAATGATCAGCAGCAATTTCAGTTAAGACAGACAAATCAGCGTTAATTTTGTCGCAAGCATTATTTACTCCTGAAGTGAAAAAAGAGTAATATAATTGCGTATCATCTGCGTAATAAATGTTCCAAAATTTAGCGTGTAAACAGTATAAAGAAGCGGTCCAAAAATAGACCCTTGAGGTAAACTTTACAACATTTTTATTTGATTTGATTGACGATTATTATAAACGACTCGCTGCAACCGATTAGTTAAATAATTCTCTAATAATGAAATCGCATTTGTACTGAAAAACCTACAAAATGTAAAACTGAGAGTAATATATCATGATGAAGCGTATCAAACGCTTTGCTAAAATCCAAAAGTGTAAATGCTGTTAACTTGCCTTTGTCAGTTTGACTTATAATCTCATCAGTTATGTGAAGAAGAGCAGTTAAACAACTGTGATTTTTCCTAAATCCGACTGGAACACTGGAAGTATTTCGTTATTGTTAAGATGATTTCGAATTTGATTATCCATTACTCTCTCCAAAACTTTAGATAATACGGGCAACACAGCAATAGGTCTCAAATCTTTAAATTCAGTTGGATTAGTAACATTAGCAATAGATCTAATTAATGATTCTTTCCAGCAGGATGGAAAAACATTATATTCTTTACAATAATTTACTAAATGCGTAAATGAGAAGTATGTATGGGCAACACAATTTTACAAAAGTAATATTAAAGCCATGAGCCTCAATTGCCTTAGAAGAAATGTTATTAACTATTTTAGCAATCACATCCTCGTTTACAGCAGAAAAAGAAAAATCGTTTAGAATATTATTCTTAGTGTGAGAGTTGTAGAAATTAATTAAGTTATCGATGTTATTACTTCCAGTCTGTTGAACCGAAGTAGCACTTGTTAAGTCATATGCAAAAGTATTTTCTAGCTCAGATAAAAAGAAATTATAATCTGAATCAGGAGGACCATTCTGATGCAGATACCTTTTCAGACATTACCATAAAAGAAATAATATGGTGATTTTTTTTTTATTTTAACAAGAAACCATTATTTAATTGGCAGTTAAAAAGTATGTAAAAATGAAAGAATCTAGCGGACAGCTGTTGCGTGTTAGACTACAACATAATTGTACCGTCTGTCAATAAGAAGCTCAATTAAAATCTCATATCACTGACGGTCTTTCTCTTTAATAATAGAGAGACAGAGGCGAGTTGTATGTATAAATAAGATGTTTTCTGTAATAACATGTCAATGTTCTAGTACGTCACGAATTGATAACAATAAAGTATGATAATAATTTTTTTTAAATCAAATAAACTTGTGTACTGTAGAAAAACACTATGTGTGTTTCAATGACAAAATACAACATATATTTCTTATGCAAACACCCCATTCTCTCAAATCACTACAAGAAAATACAAAATTATATTCTTATATATAATCACACTTAATTATTTTAAATATTATCAACTGAATAAATAGAAATCAAAATTATTTAAGATAGCGTTACGGGTGAAACGCAATTAACTAGATTCGTTTAACATATTTGCTTCTTAACATATTTTTGGTCTAACTGTTCATCAGCATGTGAATATTCTTCGCGAAAAGTGTTTTTAGTGAGACTTTTGAGAAACTTTACATCACTTCAATTGTTATATGTAAACTTCTGGCAAATGTTCCTTGAAATGTTCAATAATATGGGAACCGGATGACTCAAAGTTCTGACCTTACGATGGACATTGCAACTCTGATACTTCAAACGTTGAGAAAATGAACTTCCAAGCCTTTAGATGATATCGCGAGAACTATCGCTTATTTACTAGCATGTCACTGCGTGAAGTAATAAATACCATCGTAGGGCTTCTGACATTCCAAAACTTGATCAGTCTCAGCAGTGCCATAACGAAATGTGCGATAGGAGAGCTTGAACTCAACTGATTATTTTATACTTATGGTTAGTTATGATGTAGCTAAGACTCGTCTACAATTTGCAAGGATATTTGCGGGATTGGTAGATTACATAGGAAAAAAGTAACAGAGGTAGCTAAAATCCACAGGTAAAAGTTATTCGTAAGTTGATAGACAAGTGAAATTGGTAAGTTACAAAACAATCACCAAAAAATAGAACACAAACAATGTCTGTAAGTGCACTTATAACGTTACTAAACAGTTCCTATCATTTAAGGGGATTATAACACACCATCATATTTTTGAAAATTCATATTTTCGTTACTATTCGTCGGAATCGTTTCAAATTTGTAGGAATGATATAGAATTGTATAATCTAGGGCTGTGTGCATGCACATTTGAATATGTTCCATGAAACCGGAGAAAAAGAAAAAAAAATCACAAAATATAAAGCTTTTGCAAAACCCATTCACATGCATCTAGAAAATGTAAATCACCATACTGTGTTCAAATTTAAATTGTTTACCTGCTGTCGTTTGTGTATAATAAATTTTCAAAATTCATGGAATTTTGTATCTGTAAAATGCTGCGATCTATTGGTACCGCTATGAACTACGGGATTCTTATGACCGGTACAGTCCCTGCTGCAAGTATACATTAATGTTGAAATTCATTTATATAATATTATTCGCATAGTTAAGCTCGTGGTGAAAAGAACTTTTTAAAATTTTGTGGTATACAGGGTGGAAAAGATACAAAGTACAAAATTTAAGGAGATGAAAGTAAAAATAGTAAAAAAATTCCTATAAAACTTCAGCCTCCGGAGCACCGTTATTGCGATATGGTCCTCCAACGGGGTCTTATCCTTTGGATATTTTTTAAAATAATTTTCTTTCTGATTGAGATATGGAATGAAAATTGTAGGTAGTAATTATACCATAAGAGCCTTTAACTATCATAAGTTTCATCAAAATCGGTTATAGATAAGAATAGTTTTCTAACTACCCTTAACGGAAATTTTTCGAATTTTTTTATTCCTTTGAATTATCAAGCAAATAATATTATTTTTTAATGAATTAAGACTTTTTTGAAGAAAATATTGTATGTATTTTAAATATTGTATGGCTCCGAACAATAACTTTTTTTTTAATATTTTCACATAGTAGGTACCTATTTTTCACGGTGACAAGTTTCATAGTAATGATACTAATGATTATCTCTTTCGCGTGCTATCATTTAAATCCTTACGTTTCTTTATTTTCTTACTTGTGATCTTTTTGCTTGACTTTGCATTTCATTCGATTTTTTTACAACCATGTACCATCATAAGTTGAAAAATCCTATAATTACTTCGTCTAAATGATGCGGTATGAGACGATTATTACCTACAATTTTCATTCCATTATCTTCAGAAAGAAAGTATTTTAAAAAATATCCCAATTATAAGCCCCTTTGTAGGGGTAACGGTGCTCCGGAGGACCAATGTTTATACAAACTTTTTTTATTATTTTTGGCTCTACTTTCAACTCCTTAAATTTTGTACCAACTTTTCCAAACATCCTGTATAATACTTATTAACTAGAAAAAGAAAACTAATATTACAAATAAACTATATTTACCTTGTATTTTTGCAATTAAACAATCTGCTGTTCACATAAATTTATTATATAGATATACAATTAATTTTAATATGCAAAATTATTCCCGCCTTTTTTTATTCTACAGTTCATCTTGTCAGTCAAAAACAAATTTCTGTGCGCAGCTTGCATTGCTCGATTAGAGAAGAATTATTTTCCATTCAAACACAAAAAAAACGTTTTCAAATTGAACAAACTATGGCGGAATAATTGAACAAAGCATGGGCTCTATTAAATTCAACTGCAATTTACATAGACGTCTAATCTCAATGTTTGGGAATCTTTTCTCGTCCGACTGTACCGCACCACGTTTTTTGCACTCGCTGCGTCTCACTCAGAACTTTACTGCTTTTACCAACACGAGGCAGGCAGTCAGGTGCTATTATACCCTTAATGACTCTTTTGTGTACAATCCTACGTCTGCTACAAAATAGAATTAAGACGATGTCTTAATATTATCACGTATGAACGTTACCTTAGTAATAGCCAAATCTGGTTGTGGCTGATCAAAAGATCATGTCCCACTATACTCCATTCCAATTCAACATGATCCTATCAATTTTAGAATAGACGAATTAAAATAATAACGTGAACCGATGTAGTTATTGAACTTGCATCTGGATAAATATTTATATATTTTTTTACTATTGACCAGATGCAGTTTGGAGGGATATCCCACGTCGTCCTAAGCTTGAACCAAGACCTGCCGTAATTCAACCACCTCTAAAGCAATCCAAACAAAAATCAAAAATTATTCATTACATACACGCAGATCATCCAGATGAAAGTATTTTAAAAGCGTGGTATGAGTACTATTTATGGCAAAAGAGAACGGAAGACATGGCCAATCCAAACGTGGGATGGACTACGCACCCGGAACTCAGTACTAAGACGGAATCTGTACTTACCAATAGCACCAATAAAGCTGATGAAATAAAAGAAGAATGGATAAATTACATCAAAGAAGAAACACCTGATAGTCGCAAAGTAGAAGAAATCGTTTTCATTAACACTTGTGTATTAATGGCTATAAAACAGTTTGTTTTTGATTAGTAAGTCTCATCCTGAATACCTATATAAAAAGTTCCTTAGATGGCCTAACAAGATGAATATTTGCATTACAGGAATAATGTTGGGATCCAATGTAAGGCAAATTTCTAACATATAAATAAGACGGTTTAGATTAACTTCACACATTACAGAATACGCATAATTGTATTATTCATAACAGCTTCTCAAAATTTCTATACATTGTAGCTTTTCCATATTACCGTAGAATATTTTTAAAATGTTATATCAACAAATATACCTACCACGAATTATTGCACATCCAAATTGTATTTAAACAATTATTACGTCTATGTACCTGGTCGCTATAAGTTACAGACTTATATAGCACATCCTTAGTCTTACAATTAGCTAGGAACTCGCTCCATGATCTGCGCATCTCACAGTCAAGATGAGTCCAGGTAAACTGTATTATATTATCACAATAAAATTGTGTTAGCTAGATAATTCTGTGAATTTAAATAGTGTCCTAAAAATGTTTGTTTATATACTTACAGCCTTAATGTCCTTAGGATGCATTGTGGGGAGCATATAAAGTAATAATTTAACAAGCCATAGTAACAACAGATTTTCCCCTACATAGGAAATTATTTTTCAGAAATTAATAAAATAGGCATAAAGTGAAATTCTTAATTTTTGCTATTTTAACTGACCAGTATATACGTATAAAACATTCAAATAATTATTGCGCAGTAACAATTTATTGTTTTAAATAGAACACTTTAAATATTTCTGCAAAATTGTATAGAACATACGGTGATGCATAATACAGGCTGTTTCAGGATTAAGTCGACAGACTTTACCGGTGTGAAATTAGCAGCTAAAAGATAGCAGCCAATTTACCGAAAACGTCCGAACGTCCATTGGCGTACATATTAAACATATTTACGGAAATAATAAAGAGAAAAATAATAAACACCCTCCTATAGGAATGATCCATTTATAAAAAACATAATAAAACAGCAGCCATTTTTAGGCCGTTTCGGGGTTGGAAATCCCACCCTTCTATCGAAAACAAATCAGAAAAACATAGTTGGTCCGAATACTTAATCCGAACAAAAATTAGAAAAACATGATCGCAATGAATAGCCACCCTGGTAATCACACAAGATAATACGGTAGTAAATAACATACTAAGAGCTCAACTACTTCTTAATATTGTATTGGTATACATTTTCCTAATTAGGATGACCTTAACACACAATTAAGTCAGTGGTAGCTGATAACCACAAATTCTAAATTATCTCGCAAACGGCTCTTTTGCGGACCATGTTTATAAGACTGTTTTGCTTTTAGTAAGGTATACTTACAGCTATTTCAATTTATTATTAATTATGATACACCTTGTATATGTTATTTGTTACAATTATAAATCACGTTCACTGTTAAACTCTTTTGCTACTGCTATGGTTGCATTATTGCTTTACTAAATGTATTAATTATTTCCAGCTTCTACGAAACTTTTCAATATACATTGGTGAGAATTGCGTTTAGGTACCCTCACCATTTAATCACTCAATCAGTCAATGAATACTGGCGCGTTCCAAAATTCTTGAAGTCAGAGTTAAAGAGACCTAAACCTAAAAAACCTAAAAAGGAGAAAGTAAAGAAAGAAAAGAAACCAAAACAACCTAAAGAGAAATCCTCGAAAAAAAGCAAATCGACGAAAGAAACTAAAGAAAAGAAAGGAAAAAAAGAAAAACCGAAACAGTTAACAAAAGAAGAAAAAGCTGAGTTGGCTAAACTTAAAAAGGAAAAAGAAATGGAAGATGAAAAGAAACGAATAGCTGAATTAAATAAACGCTTCATGTTTCCTTTATCGGAAGCAGCTACTGATGATTTCTACAAAGAAATATTTGACAACTGGGTAAAAGTGGAAAAAGGTGACAAGGGGAAGAAAGGGAAAAATGGAAAATAAAAAGCATTATTTGCGGAATGTATTAAATATTTTAAAATTATGTAGCATAAATTATATATAAATAAAGTCACTGAAAAACATTCCTTTAAATTATTAAAATTAACATTTCTGTAGCATTTTTTTGCTAATCAAATATACCTCTGATTTTAACAAATACGTATATCACTATGCATATTTTACCTAATGCAAACATATTGTGTCAACAACAAGAGTGTCAATTTCATATATCAAAAGAGAAAACCATCGGATTTTTCCGGATTCGGGTTCCGAGTCATTTTTTGTGCCTCCGTGTACGGCCGATTTACTATTGTAAGAGGCCTTAGTTGTACAATAGCTAGTGTTTTAGTGTCTCTTCGCGTTCCAAAAGAGCGTTTCTAATTCAAATTGTTTTTTTTATGAACATGCACCTTTTCCGTGTGCCATTTATCATATTTTTACAAGCTTTTATTTAACTTGCCATGTTAGTATAGATCAAATTTTGCAACTGAATTTTAAAACAGTTTCCCCAACAGATTGAGCTGAAATTTTGCATACACATTTAGTTTGGATGACAATGCATGGTTAGCTAAGTGACGTCATTCTAAATCCATAATATGGGTATCAAATGAAAGGGATGGCTGAGAAGAATACGAAAATAAAATGAAGTTACTAAAAGCTTACTTTTAAAAAAAATATATAGATCTTTCAATTCATAATTTATCATTTTTGACAGAATCAGGCACCAGTAAAATTACGTGAACGAAAAAATAAATTTTTCGATTTTTGAAAGGAAAATTTCAAGAGAATTTAGAAACGCAAATCATCATTTTAGATAAACCTTTTTTAAAAAGGTACAAGATAGATGAAAATGAGAAAAGTTTTTCAACCGAAGCTAGGGTGATAATATTTTCATGCTCTGACGGTTGTGTGACATGTGATGACGATGCGAAAGACTCATGTGTATTAGAATTAGCTAAATAATTAGAATGAGCTTTATAACAAGAATAAGCTTCAATAGAATTTAGAAATTATTTCGTTCGAAATGACGAATTCATTCCAAATACATGTCTTATATCGCAGATATTTACCTTTCGTACTTTATTAATAATAATTAATTACCTCAAAAACTTCAAACTCCGACCTTACATACGTTTTACGCGACCTCAATACCAGAGGCACTTGAAATTTTAAATAGATTCAATAAATTAACGTGATATATCGGCCATTTTTATCAGCCATCTTGAATTTGAGATTTTTTACTACAAATTCGGCTTTAGCGACCTGGAAAACATAAAGTCCCAACTTTTGATGATGATTTTTGGACTTTTGTCCAGCTTTTTCGGATTTCCGACCACTGTGCGCCATGCGCCATGCCGGTCGCATTGTGCGAGGTCAGGTTTTATCACAACCTATCTAGGCTGTGGTTTTACAGTGGACCAGATTCTAGTGCCGTAAGTGTATTTTTAAATCATTTTCGAACTGCCCTTTTTGATTTTTTCTTTACAAAATTGTATTTGTAAGGGTCCCCTGTACATCCAGATTTTTTTTTTTTGGATAAGTTCTGAATCACCCTGTATATTTGAAATTATTAAGTTAGACTCGTACTTCAAAAATAACAACATAACCAAATGTTAACTCTTCTTTCTTCTGTAAATAATGTTTATTGAATTCAGTTGTGTAATCGACTTATCTTATTAATTCTGTTAGGTTAGGTATGTTTTATAAGAATAAATGAGTTTTTATTCTCATTTTCATAATGAAACATAGCTACGATATTATTAAAATTAAAATTTTTATATTCTTTTTTCAGATCAAACCAGTAAACACCTACACTAATAATACTAATATCATGTGATTATAATAAAAAACGCATTTTGTTAATATTATTTTGGATATCCACTTCATTCATCTATTTTGACAGTAACTATTTTTATTATACGAGTATGTATAGAAGTAGGTGAAGTCGTTTACCACAGACATGGGCGTAGCTAAAACTTATTCTTGGGGTGAAAGCTCTATGGAGGCCTCTAAAAAAAAAACTCTCGTAACTTATAACTGTAACCGATATAAAATTTGAACACGTTTTGATTTGATTCTAAGAAAATGAGATCACGCAGTCACCGACTACCAGTATCACAAATATGATAATAATAGATGTTCTGGGGTGTGTCGTACACACCCTTGCCCCTTCATGACCACATATTTTGGATGAAAATAATGAGATTAGTTGTCATTTTTACATGTATACGTCTTGTGTTTCAAGACAGGGTGGCAAAATTATAATTAAATAGAATTATTAACTTAATATGTAAGATATTTATTTAAAACTTTGCATATACCTTTTTTTCAACATCAGCACATTTATTTTTGTTTATTTTAAATAAAAATATTCCTCGTTTTAATGCGACGAATTCCATCGATGTATTACTATTGGCCTGTTTAAAAAATTCTAATCTCTTATTGGATCTGCGGAATCCATCACATCGAAATGATGAATAAAAGAACACGGCCATGTTGCGGTTAGACATAATGGAACGCTCTATGACGGATGAGCGAGTGAAGATTGTGAAAATTCATTACAAGAACGGAGAGTACGTGGAATTTTCGGTAGGGGCAACGTCCTGAATGAAACAACCGTGAAAGGATTAGTTGCCAAATTTGAACAAATAACAAATTTTGGTTGCAGATGTTAAAAAAAAACAAGCCGGCCGCGTATTGGCCGTTCAGACGAAAATATTGAGTAATATTGTGGTGGAAATTCCCGTAACTTCGGTTCCCGTCGGCTACTGTAATTAAACATTTGAAAAAGCACAATGCAGCGGATTTTAACAAATGATCTACATTTGTATCCATTCAAGCTTCAGCTAACTCAGGAATTGAAACCAGACAACAATTTAATACGCTGAACATTCATTGATTGGATGTTGAATAATCAACAAGTAGACGGTGATTTTGCTAAGAAAATCATCTTTAGCGACGAGGCGCATTTACATCTGAGTGGGTATGTGAACAAGCAAAACTGTCGAATTTGGATTAGAGACAACGGGTCATTCAAGAACAACCACTGTATACACAAGAAGTGACAGTGTGGTGTGTATGTGTGTGTACTGGTGGGGTGATTGGTCCTTTCTTTTTTGAAAATGAGGCTGGATGCAGTGACTGTCAATGGAGAACGATATCGGGAGAAACTATTGAACTTTTATGGCCTCATTTGGATGGCATGGATTTGGATGACATGTGGTTCCAGCAAGATGGTGCCACCTGTCAAATGGCACGTGAAACTATCCACTTGCTAATGCAAAAATTTAATGGACGAGCCATCTCACGTAATAGTGAAGTGACTTGGCCACCATGCGATTTTACGCTATGCGACTCTTTCTTGTGGGGATTCGTAAAATTCTTGATTTTGTGCTTAGATATTACACCTTACTTGAATATATGATATACTCTCATTTGCTTATTTTAATGAGTTGATAAGCTTTATGAAAATATTCTTGGGAGGTAAGGGGTTTGATATTTTAACGTCTAGTAACCAATTAGCTTTGCAATTAAAATTATTTGAATTAGCATTTTCTTATTTATTTGTATTTAGCAAATTATATATGGTTTTAATTTGATAAATTGGAAAGCGAACTGCAAGAGGCTAAAACCATAAATTTTCCAGCGTATTTGGTTCTCTCTCATTAATAGCACCGAAGCGGTGAAATATTTCCTATGTTTCTGAGTTCCAGTATTGGAATGCAGCCAACTTCAAATCTCGATTTTAAAATAATCTAATTTCTTAAATTAAATTGGGTAAATTAAAAGAATGTTAACAAAAACTGTTATCAACATGCGTATTTCAAATTGCTGGAATTTCTTTTTAAAATTCCGGGCTTTAGTGTAACGTAAACAAAAAAAATTCTAGTCACATATGCAAAGAACTTGTAAAATCTAAAAAACTAAGTTCTAAATAAGCGCTTGATATAGAAAACAATTCCTTGAATGGAAAACAATAACCGCCTCTCTTTTGTACATGCTTTAATTATTTTAACAAAAATTGTACAAAAACTGCAAAATTTCAGTTGAATAACTTAAAAGACAACGCAGTTAAAGTAAAAAATACATTTTTTTATTCTTACTTTAACACTTGCACTTTGAAAAAGAGGAGCCTAAATACCAAATGATATAAGGATAATCATATTATTTTCCCCCAAAGCATATGTGGTTAATGGTTATCTACTTTTGTGTAACTCCCTGTATACCGATAATATTTTTCACGCAATGTCGTATAAGAAATAATAATTATCGTAAGTAGATATATTTTCTTTTAGATATTGACTTTAGCAGTAAGACACTTTAAGTACATAGTAGTAAGACATTGTACTACCTATTAGAGTATGTGACACATTTGTTGTATTTTAAAATAGAAATCATTTTCGTAAGTTTCACAGATGAAAATTGTTTCATTATCTAGCATAATAGAAATCTTATAATAAAAATGATTGCAGAAAACGTTTAAGCGCTTTATTGAAAGAAAAGGTTTCCACTTAGACTCAAACTCGTTTCAATTTTCCTGTAAACTGTGAAGTATGGCCAGGAGAGGGCACTGATTACGTGAAATAAGTATTCTGCTTCTCTAAAAATTACCCACGAGAGTACAATATTTCGGTCAACGTCGCGAGAATTCACGCTCGATCCAAAAACTGTTGCTGTTACTTAGTATCAAAAGAGGGCAGTAAAGTGCATATTCCGAAAATCAGTAGAAAACAGAGTAGTTCTTGTGTAACTCTATATTAATTTGTAAAAAAATTCAAAAGCTACTCCACAACTCGTTATTTTAGAATTACAAATAAAAGTAAGTACTCCTAGAAACGCTAATGAAGAATGTATAATTAAAAATAAACCAATAATTTACTTAATATGATAAGTAAGTAGCTATTTTAGAATGAGCCAGGTAAAAATAAAAGTAATAATTAATATTAATCTATTGTTTCAAAATTTCACTTGTATTTTATACTTAATTCAATATTAATTAATATTCAGATTTCAATTTCATTTTTGCAAAGCAATACGTAAGATGTAGAAATATTTCAGCTCATC